TCAGAGATTGCTAGAATACCACATCCCATACCAAACTGGCCTTACTTTAGAGCTCTTGCCTGCTTTAGAATGGCAGCAATTGCACAAGTAAGAAAGTAATGCAACTGTTTCCTATTACACATATTGGGAAAATTATTGTCATATGTCATTGAACTGTGCAGAATAAAAAATATGGCAGACTTTATTATTGGCAGTCAATTATAATATACTTTTAACTTACTTTTAGGGTGTGTATGCCAGAGGTCTTCACGGCAATGCCAGCAGTAGCTTCACTGATAGATTCAAGCATGTTGTTCGTCCACTTGCAAAAACTGGATGCTCTTTCTTTGAGTATGCAGTGTTATTATCATACTCTATTTTATGATTATATTTAGTCCCAGGTTTGTTGCTAACTATCCATTCCCGTCTTACTTGGAATCTGGCAAATTTTCTCAGAGAGGACGTCAGATATTAGCTCAAGTGAAAGAGTTTATGGATGACTACATTTATCCAGCAGAGAAGGTCAGTCAAGAAATGAAGAGGAGAAATGGCTAATGGAAATTTATCATGTTTGTGTTTTCAGGAGGTTTATGAATATGTTAGTAAGCCAGAGAATACATGGAGCATCCCTCCTATCATTGAGGAATTGAAGGACAAAGCTCGTATGGCTGGTTTATGGAACCTGTTCCTCTCAGGAGTATCAGGGTTGACCCAGTTTGAGTATGCTCCTATGGCCGAAGAGATGGGACGGTGTCCTTTTGCTTCTGAAGTGTTTAATTGCAATGCTCCTGATACTGGGAATATGGAGGTACTGTACTTGTATGGGAATCATGAGCAGAAGGAGAAGTGGTTGCAGCCATTACTGAATGGAAAGATAAGATCCTGCTTCTCAATGTCTGGTAAGTAGAAGGAGAGATAAAGAAGAGGATTTATTGAGTATTATTGTACTTATGTAGAACCAGACGTAGCATCCAGTGATGCTAGTAACATGCAGTGTACTATCACTAGGGTAGGGAATGAATATGAGGTCAATGGAATAAAGTGGTGGTCCAGTGGTATGTATCATTAAAATTATGTCATGTGACATAATCATGAATCATCCATGTGATTATAATTTATTTTAGGTGCCGGGGACCCAAGATGCAAGGTAGCAATTGTAATGGGAGTGACTAATCCTAATGCTGACAGGTTCTTTGATGTATTTCATTAACCTTTAGCTTTAGGTTCACCTACTTTAGACTCAAGAGACATTCCATGATTATTGTTCCCTTGGACACACCCGGAG